TACGCACGCCTTTCGCTCGACATGGCCATCTTTTACGTAAGCCATCCCCTCAGTGATGAACCTGTGGAACGCCCTAGAATCCACCTCGCCATCATATACGGTAGGTGGCACCGGCTTTAGAATGGTGTGTTGCTTCTTCTTTTTCTTCTTCTTCGAAGACTTCTTACGGGTGCGCGATGATTTCTTAGGTCGTCATTTCCTCGACAAGTCCGTTGTCGAGCCATCGGATGTTTCATCAGAGGACTCACTCGATGTTGACTCACTCGAGCTGCTGCTACTTGAGTCATCGCTGGATGGATCAGACTCCGAGTGAGTCTTCTCTCTGGGCTCTCTGGACTTAACCCTGCTCAGCACCCGTCCAATATAGCTTTGGGCCGTTACTTGTTGCACGGGCTGCAAAGCCCTGGGCGTCTCGCTCGCAGCTCGGGTCTTGGTCGAAGGTTTCACAACTTTCTCGATCATGGACTTTACCGGTTGCGAATGATTCGTCGCACCCATGTCAACCTTGGTAGGTGCCAAATCTTTCTCAAGCTTCCGATTGAGCTCTCGAATCCTTTTCTCATACTTTCGTTCTAGTCTGACCTCGGCGACACGGACAGCCTCTATGGCTCGCTCGTGGACAAGCCTCTCAAGTTCCTCCTTGGATACCTCGATGCTTTTGACCTCCGGCACGTGTTCCGTGCTGGTTTCATTTTCGCCTTCACTGGTTACCTCTCTCGCTGCTTTAGCAGCATTCCAGGCTTCGAAGGCAGCACGCTGGGCATCCAGATCCAGTTCCCCCTCGTCAAGATCAGCGGCTCCCCACTCTCTTGGGTCTGTGGTCTTGCCCTTCGAGGGTCCAGCTGTTCCAGACGCAGTTGCATCAATCTGTGAGTGTATCTTAGACTGCCTTCGATTCACTCGCTCACGTTCGTCATTGGTCAGACGACGCTCAGCCTCTTTCATGAGGCTCTCCTGCTCCTTCGTTAACGTACAAACGGGAGCAGGTTCGGATTTTAATCCACTTGAAAAGGCACCCTCACGGCTTCGTTTTCGTCGAACCGTGATCCATGGACGACCGTCGTCATCGGACTCATCACTTTCGGAGTCTGGATCTGCTTCACTGGGAGCAGGAGGTAGGGTCACACTCAATAGTCTATTCACGTCCTCTACTGACTCAAAATGGTTCTCAGGGGTATTCTCAGCCATGGAGACCTGCTCCGTGGACTTCTCCTTGGGGCCGTGCAGGCCAAACCAAGGGCTTCTTGCCTGGACGATGTCGCTGCACAAGCGGACGGTCCTAAGGACAGATGTCTCTGATTTAGTCACCTCGAAAGGTGCTATCTCAGGGGTGTCGTCCAAGGCAGTCAGTGGTGAGTCGAAGGGTGAATAAGGCATGGCACCAGGAGGCTTTGGGGTTGGAAGGATCTTCTGGGTGCGCTGGTTGATAGGTCGCATATCGTAATGAACAGTAGTCATGTCAGTAGTTGATGAGTGAAATAGATTATTGTTTTGCCGACTCGTCACCAGAGGTTGGCCAAACCTAGGTTATCGAGAATGGCAGTGGGTAGGTTTAGATTAAGCTAGGAGAAGGTGAAAAAATATGTGACGACAGCTCGAAGTGGTAACTTGAGTTGAAGGCACACGGAAACGAGTCTTAAGATGATCAAGCAATGTCACCAGGTAATAGCTTAGTTGCAAGAACGCCAAACGTTACAACTCTAACTACTGGGTCTTTTATAGCTTTTCTGTAATGTAGCACATGAAATAGTAAGGGCGTAGGGTATGGAGGCGCGGAGCACCGGAATAACTCGGACTGTAAGATAATGTCAAAGAAAATAAATGTTAGGTACGATAATCACATGGTATGGTTGGGGGTCAAGCTGAGTGGACGTGTAGACGCCACAGTGCCGATGCATTCCGAGATCTTATGCCCAACGGCGTTGTAGAGCGGCCATTGTGTGTAGCAGCAGTACCCTCCATTTTGATAGGATGTAATTGTGCTACCGACCGCAGCACTAGGTGACTGAACCTGGGCATCTCAGCATCAGGAAAACCCTCCCACCTAAACCGTCTTAGTGAAATTAGAGCATTTTAGTGAAATTTCGACAGCTGTGAAAATTAATGGGCCCATCTGCAAAATGACAAAATGAACGTGCATTACGGACGTTTGCTTGGTTTCCGTGGACTGACAAACTGAACACCCAACCCAGACATAGTGAGTGAGTATCTGAGCACGGAGCCATACTATCACTTGCCCAGAGTTGCAAAACGTTCCGACCAGTTTTTCATAACACAACAACTACACAACATTAAAATAAAAAAACACTAGGAGCATGTTGGATTTAGTACGTACTCTAAGGCTATGTAAAAAAAATAAAGAAATATGTCCAGCCTACGTTGCCAGAGAGAAGCCAGTGCGAAACAGTGTTTGAGCACAGAGTTGCAAAATTTCTCACCCGCATAGAAGTCGTCGTGTCACACTGTGTCACACTGCTGTTTTAACTCTCTGACGAAGCGACCAGCGCTGCAAGACTGAAAGCTTAACTTCACAGATGAGTGAGTGATGTCAGCCGAGTTGCCAAGCAGCACTTTGCAACTCCGAACACAAGCTCATTCCTCCTGTCACGCTTTGCATCTCGATACTAGATGTCCACGGGAGTCCGCGCATTTTTGGCAAAATGTTTATTACTCCACATCGCACAAACAAACAAAATTAATTCTTTGACGGTTCGATAGCGTGACATCGAAAGTACAACATCTGCTAGTTTATTTTTCGAAAATTGACGTGTTGAGTCCAGCGGAGAGTTACCGCGCAGAAAAGTGCATTTTCCCTAGAGTTCGCACACTTCGTCACAATATGTCACACGTCTGCCGCAATGCCTTTTCACGCTCCGCAGAGTCCGCACCGTTTGAACAGCGTGTTGTGAAGTTGTGCGCTGTGTACTTACTTAGAGGCAAAATGAAGCAGCATAAACATGCAATTAATGCTACTGAACTGACTATTGTGACTGTAAGATATGTAAGTGTAACTAATGTGAATAATAGTAAGGCAGACTCGGATAAGCTTGTGCAGGCATACTATGATAGTTGTGAAAAGAATGATGGGGAATGGTATGATGGTGTGTATTGATAGGCACATGGTGGTGTAAATTATGCTGGGGAGAGAATGGGTGCTGCTGGTGTCCACGAGGAGGTGAAGTAAGTGCAACGCGGGAATAAACGGTCGAGGGGGGATCAGACATTGACAGCGCGGGAACTAAATGTGGAGTAGTGGATGAGGATGGCACTGGTAAGTCCATCGAATGTTGCGGGTTGTTGAGTCGACGACAGATTGCAGGAGGCTCAACTTGAAGTGACTCCACTGATGCAGCATTTTCATCAATCATGCTTGCATGTGTGCGTTTCTGCCCACGAGGGAGACGGCCATAAAGGCCAGTGAACTTCAGATCATCCTTCAGCTGGGGGCGGCCATCAAGCTGCGCTTGAATCAAGGAAACACGTTCAGGATTGTTTCGAGCACCATCGAGAGAAATTTCCAGAGCTTGTGCGAGTTCGAGAAGATCAGCTTTTGATTTGCCGCTGAGAGAACCGCTGAATAATACTGTAGGACCGCGAGCATCACGGACAGCTTGAGCAGCTGTTTCTCGCGCTTCCCGCCGCTGTGTTGCCTCTGCCTTCTGTCGCGCTTTTTCAGCCCGTGCTGCCTTCTCAGCCTCCCAAGCACGCACACCTGCAGCTGAAGTGAGTCCCCTTGCTCCAACATTAATTGTACCCTCTTTCGTCTTCTTTTTGTTTGAATTTAGCTTCTTTTTTAGGTCGCCCATCTCCTGCAGTGCGAGTATGCAATGTGCTTCCGCAGAATCAAGTCTGGCTGCCAGAGTGCGGTTTTCCTCCAGCAACCGCTCATTCATTTCCACCGTGGCATCAAGTTTCTTCTCCATGGACCAGCTGGGAAGGAACGGGGTAGGAGTTGGGGTGACAGCGCTAATGACCAAATGAGCGAACGACGGATCTGACTCTGGTGTTGCAGGACTCGGAGTTGTGGTAGGAGTGTTTGGTGAGTGTGTCTGCGGTGTAGATGTGGGATGGGAAGATGACGGCGCTTCATTATTCTCCAAAGATTCTCGTGTGACAGTGTCTGACTCATCATTATCCTCCCTTTCACCATTGCTAATTTCGCCGTCGGAGTCAGCACCTGGCTCCAAGCCCTCCTCGAAATCAAACACCTCCTCGACATCAGGCAGCAGCTCAGGTGTCTTTCCTCCACCCCCTTCAGGGACTGGAAAAGATGAAGGTACGTGCGCATGAATTGATGTTGCCTTACTCGGCGCATAATCTTCTTCTCTGAATATGCTTGGATCAATGGGATTGAGGCCACTATGTTGCCATGCCTTTTTAATGAGATCTGGCCGTGAAAAAACTTCAGTTTCGAACTGCCATGTATTCCCTGACAAATTCTTTCCTAGGTATGTCCGCACCTGTCTCAGTAACAACTTCATCGCAGCGCTTTCGCCAGGCATTCTGCAAGGGGCCAAAGCAACCAACATCGAGAGGCTGCAACTTGTGAGTTGTATGTGGAGGGAGACAGAACAAGTGAGTGTTATTGTTGAGTGCGAGCTCACGAATCTGATCTGTGATATGCGAGCTGTGGCCATCAAATATGAGAAGGATGGGTTTCCCAGATGTGTTACGAGCTGTGGCCTGAGGTATGAATGATTCTTCAAACCATTGTGTGCCAACGAAGTCATCAGTCCAACCATTAGGGGACATGTAAGTACTGCAATATTCGTGTCAGTATTGGTTAATTTTGATGACAACTAATCTTACTTGATTGCAGGATCGACTGTCCACCATGATGGTGAATGCTCCTTGCCAGAAAACACAAATGCTGGCTGTATATTTGTGCCGTCAGCACACACACACTCGATGATGGTGACAAGCTCAAGGTTGTCACTTTTGAACTTGTAGTGTACCCATTTTCCGCACGACATAAGGTATTTGACTCTGCAATGTCCTCGTCCTCCTCCTCGTTGACAACCTTTCTCATCCATGTTGTATACGTTCTCCCATGGGATGCCAAGCTCTTCCATGATCTCACGCAGGAGCTTGAAGTGGTCTTCGACTGTTGTTTTATTGAAACACTGGCCCCGTTTTGGATCAAGTCCTGAAGGCCGCCCAAGCTTAATGCTTGGATGGCGATGGAGAAAACGGTAAATCCAGTTCTTTGATGGTGTCCTTCGACAGAGTGCATAACACTTCTGTTTGACGGTCCGCTTACTGATTGGATTGCCTGCAGCATCGAGGTGCTCGATCCAGTCCACGAGAACTTTCTCTTGATGCTCTGAGAGCAGCTGCTGATGTTTGTGGGCCTCCTTAGGAGGACGAACACCACGAAATCGGCCACGAAGAGTACTCTCAGGAATACCATAGTAAGTCGCTGTTTTTCTGATATTTGGTGTGTTACCAGCTCGCTGATCTTCCCAAAGCTTTGCACAGGCCTTCTGGACTTTTTCTTCTTTGGTCTCGCGCAGCTGTTTGGACTTGACCATGCAGTTGTTAGAGTTGGCTCAGACTTCAATTTGGCATTGGTATTTTCATGCCGCATTTCGGCATTGCGGAGTTTTGATTACACAGTCTCGATGTAACGCTTTGGGCAGATTGTCACGTCTGGGGCTTATTTCTATTATCGCAGATGATCCTGACGAGCATGTGCCCCAGATAAATTTGTTTTAGTATTTTCTAATCATGTATAACCATCTCACAATATTCCAGAATTTATTATGGATATCTGACCTATAGAGTGAGCCTTCTATGTCTTTCGCACCGATAAGTTGCCTATGGGATGAGATCTACTTCAATTTTCTTCAAAACAAAAATATGGCAGTATGTATTATGTTTTGGGGAATCCAGATCTATCATGGATAAGGATTCCGTGCAGAATTGCGTGTGCTAGAGTCAATGCGCGGACTCTTGGGACACACGGACTCGTGGGACCATCTAGTAGTAGAGATGAACGTAGAAAATTAGCGCATTGCTATTTCTTATGTAATCAAAGTACATCATGTTCAGCCTGAGGCTGGTTTCCCATAACATAGAAACCCGGCCTGAAAGCTTACCTTTTGCCTCACAAAACTGCTGCCTGAGGTGTTTTGGTCTCTCTGACCAACTTGAAGGACTCGTTGGCCATTCAGATTCGGACTTTGCGTCTGATAAAGATGCTTATGTCTATTAGTACCTTTTCGGTTCCCCCCATCAGCTGACACTCCCAGAAACAGTCACGTCCTCGACTGAAAGCAGAATACATCGCTCTCTCGAATGCTGCTTGGGAACAAATTCACCTTAATCAATTACTGCACGATTTCGGACTTGATTAAGATTCGTCGTTCATCCTGCCTACTATTCTATACGGAGACAATAATGGGAGCCATGCGCTAACGAAAAAACCCCAGTTCCATGACCGCGCGAAACACATTCGTGTGTGGTATCACTTCATTCGAGATCTCGTCAATGATGGTATTATCAAGATCCCATACACCACACATGATGTGGTTGCCGACATTTTCACGAAATTCCTGCCACGAAAACTTTTCCGCAATCATCGCTGCTCTCTCGCTCTTCGCTCATCTTCAAACGAGACCTTGGCTGAATAGTTCCACACGCGTATCTGCTGATATGCGTCTGAGTGGGAGTATCACGATACATCCTTCGTACGTGTCTATTTTACATACACATACACATTATCATACAAGTTCCATCCACATTCACATTTCGTTCTCTGTTTCGATGATTATTTAATATTCAGCGTCTATAATATTCCCTTCCCTCAGTCTTTCCAACTAAGACTGAGGCGAGCTACTTACTACAACTCCTCTGCATACTTAGTGCTAACGATACATTCCTCGTTTCTAGTCCGAGCCTCTCGATTCGTCAGAGTCGTTCGCTGCATGTGACTGCTATTCATAATTTTATAGGACTCAGATGCCACGGGAGTTGTCATATATTCTGGCAATTCTGTCATTATCGCCATGGTGCAGATGTTTGTACTGGGTCCACGCCTATGCCTCATCCTTGACGTTCGAGAATGCTATGCTAAGCTTGTCGGCGACTCTGATACAAGAACAGATATGATTTCGATTGTTTTCCGGGAGCATGCACACGTGTCAACCGGCAGTTGCGTGTAGCACGGGAATCCTTGTTGAGTGTTATGCAGGGAGCAGGAGAAATTTCTTGAGGGCCGGGTGCTCAGCGTCAGTTATATTCCAAACATGCATTGGTAGAATTATGAACCGTTGGCAGAGGGTTGAACCTAAGCCATGACTAAATTATCGACATATCTCATAAAAGACACTTCCTCAAATCGACCGTAATGCTTGTATCTACAATCTCATCACTGACCACTTCATCATGAAGAATTGCACATCGCGAGTCGCAATTTCCACCAACTCTGTTTCTACCTTTACACTGCCCTTCTTGAAGATCTCTCCGTCCCACAAAGATGTCCAAGTTTTGGGAGAATGAGCGAACAACCCATACTCGGAGCCCGGGAGACTGTTATTTACCATTCCTTTTTCGAAACTTCCGACATGGTAACCGCAAATAACGGAACCTGGCTGTGCGGATAACAGACCAGCGAGAGCTTTGGCAACGAGGAATTGTTTCTCCTCGCTGAAGAGGTGGAAGAATGAAATAGCGTTTATTACGCTAATGCGACCATGAAGGGAGTTCAGGGATTTCAAACAGGACAAATCTATGGCTGGCGCCGGAGAGACGTCGTCCGTCGGCGCAGCTATAGAGAGAAATGCCGGATCAAAGACATCTCCAGGGAGGAAGCATCCGGGATAAGAAGCTGGTGTCGTTTTGAAAAGTTCGTGGCTTAGTTGGAGAAACTCTGTACATACAGTTCGTTAATAAGAATGATTATTCACAGGAAAAAAATACCGTTGAAGAGATCTGATGCAATGATGTTTTTGGCAGGAAACCCGTCCGCCGCAGCCTTTCTGCCATCAATACCGACTACAATGGTGTCAATATCATTTACGACAGAACATCGTGATTTGACGCACAGCAACAGCCAATGTCGAGCAACAAGGCATCGGGGCGCTTGCGACCAAGCTCAAGGATATGTTCGTACACAGAAAGATTTGATAAGTTTAACCTGAGGAATGTTATATTTCTGTTGGGTGTGCAGATTCACTGAAAATATACCGAAGGAAAACAAATGAACGAATACATGGATATGGTGCAACCTGTCAGCGATGGATGGTTATTAGACTTATTACGAACTCCACTGGGAATGACTCGCCTGATATGCTTTCGCCTGCACCTCCAGGATATGCCTCTTCAAGTCTTCGTCGTCGTCGATACCGGTCTGCGCCTTGAAGAATTCAGCTTGTTCGGAAGACAGACCGTAAAGGCTGGTGTCTACTGTTGGTGCCGATGCGATACGAAATGTTACGTCGCCCAACAACGTTGTAGAGCCATTGTGTGTAGTAGTACCTTCCATTTTGATGGGATGTAACTTGTGCTACTACGCTGCTTTCTGCATCCTTTTTCAAGGTGAATGAACCCGAGCGTCTCCCTAGCGGCATTTATAAAACGGCCGTTGGTCACAAGTGATACGAGGACCCCTGAATGCATGGAGGTAGGTAGGTAGGTAGGTAGGGAGGCCAGAGACCAGTCCATATTTGTTTGAGGTCTGAGGGCTGTATGTTTGATGCAATCATGACAAATTTCAGTGTTCTGCCGTCGCGGGGAGCTATACTTTGTCCGACTAGACAAATGCAAGCCAGTATGGCGAAGGCCTGATTTACACCTGGACAGATTTTAGGGTAGCAGTTTGTAGGTTATATTACGAGCTGCTCACCTGAGCAACATTCTTGTTAGCATTCCAACTCGGAACAAATCGAGCACGATCTGCTTGCAGCTTGAAGGCAGGTATGACATATGATCACCGTCAGGTTAGTAACACCGTTTGCTTCAATCGACTGTCGGACTAGCTAATCTCGTTTATTTTCAGTGATCGCATTCTATTGTCAAGGTAAAAAGAAAAGAAACCCACAAAGATTGGCAATCACAAATGAACAGCGTTGCGCCGGCTGCCTCGTATCTTGCTAGCTGCTATGCAAGGTTACGACTCGGAGCATGGCAACTCTACAAGCTTTTACTAGTAAGTCTGCACATGTCTTCTCAGATCACTTACTGAGAAGGATTCAGGGACAATTTGCCCTCAGCGCTGAGCGCTGAGAACCAAATACTTGGTATTTACTGTGGGCGGTTCGCCAACTTGAAATCCGAGGAAGGGAGGGTTGACCATATTTACATTCTGCCACCATAGAGTGCTCCAGCTAGATAGCTCGCCCGGTCATTTTCGGCGCTGTTTAAGACCTGATCTATCCCTAAGTACTAATCCGGACCCCACTGCTGAGGTGAGGGCGTTCCTGAAATGGTATAAGTCTGACTTCGAAGTTCCAGGTCACTACCGTTTGCAGTCTGGTGGCGATTGACGGAGTTTGAAGACATCGGCATACCCCACTTCACGCTTCCACACGCCGCCGCCGTCATGTCTCTCTTTGCTGCATGTAGCAACACGATCAGCTTGCCACCATGCCAGTTCCATTTTAGCACCTTTCTCCGGTGTACTAGCCTTCTCAAAGAGGATATTCTACAACCTCAGCCGCACACCGTCTCTGTCCTCATCGCGCCCGACATACTCCATCAACGAATTTCTAGCTGAAAAGGGCTGCCATCTCGGTTCGAGCGGTATTTAAATGAAGGATTCCATTGACACCACCTCCAGTGGTGGCGGGCAGACATAGAAATAGTATTCCTAATAACTAGCGAGCAGCAGGCAGGAACTTCGGGATGATATTATTAGGTGAGCCGTACCTAATACAGGTGAATGATTCAACCCCGCTTGAATTTGCCGAGCGTGCTGGGGTACCTAGACCTGTACCCAGACGTAGACCTGAAGTCTGCATATGCCTGTACCAAGACTGGCCAGAATCCCGACATTCACGCAGAGGCCTCATGTCCGGACATAAATCGTCGAGTTTTCGAGCATCTGATCCGCTAAATTTGGTATCTAACTTGGAATCGATAGGCCGAACCTACACAACTCACGGACATTAGTAACATTGTTTATCTTCAAACTTGAAGCTTGGAGTACTACTACCAGTTCTACACTTGGTGATAAGCAATAGTAGTTAGTTCG